AGAAGGCTGGCGGTTCAAACCCACCAGCCACTCCTCGGAAGGAAGGATGGGCAATCTACTTCCATAGTGATACTGCCTTGGAAACACAAGGAGGGGTCGCTATGAGTCGAGTCCGACTCGACGGCACATAACAACAACAACAACAATACTTTGTTCCACAGTTCCAAGGTGAACACTAAACTGCATACTAGAATGAAATAAAACTTTATTAATGAGGAAACTGAGGTCTGTTATGCTTGAGACCCACCACTTCTCTGTCAGTTTCTCATACTGTGGTGGCTTGCATTTTGCTGTGAAACTGGAAGCTATGTCACTGGTATTTCAAATCTCAACAGGGTCACCCATGGGGAAAGTTTTCAGTGGAGCTTCCAGACTAAGACAGACTAGGAAAAAGGATGTGGTGATCTACATCTGAAAAATTGAGCAGTAAAAACTTTATGGATAGCAGTGGAACATTGTGGGAACATTGTACTTAGATCAAGAGGCAGTCGTTTGAACAGAGCAAGGGGATACTGGTTTAAAATCGTGATTTTTAAAAACAAGAAGGTGTGTGATTTGAAATCAGGGAAGATGTGCAGCATTGTTGTATCCTTTCACTATACTTATCCAATCTGTATGCTGGGCAAATAATTGGAGAAGAAGCTGAACTATATGAAGAAGAACATGGCATCAGGATAGGAGGAAGACTCGTTAACAATCTGCGATATGCAGATGACAAAACCTTTCTTGCTGAAAATCAGGAATACTCGAAGCACTTACTCATGAAGATCAAAGACTACAGTCTACAGTATGGATTACACCTCAACATGAAGAAAACAAAAGTCCTCACAACTGGAGCAGTCAGCAATAGTGTGATAAATGGAGAAAAGATTAAAATTGTCAAGGATTTCACTTTACTTTGATCCACAATCAATACTCATGGAAGCAGCAATCAAGATATCAAACGATGAATTGCACTGGGCAAATCTGCTGCAAAAGACTTCTTTAAAATATTAAAAAAAGCAAAGATGTCACCTTGAGGACAAAGGTATGCCTGACCCAAGTCATGATATTTAAAAAAAAAAAGATTTTTTGTTGTGATTTGGGTGAAAGCTTACTGAACAAATCCATTTTTCATACAACAGTTCATGTACATTTTGTTTCATGACATTGATTCCAATCCCTATAATGTAACAGCTCTCTTCCCACTTTCTCCCTGTGGTTACCTTTTCCCTGTGTCCTTTCCTATGCATTCTTGCCCTCTGAGCTACCTCTCTGTGTAAAAACTTCTCCTTGGATCTCCCATGGTTGATTGTTCTAAGGAGTGTATCTACCTGGTGTAAATGTTCACCGTATATGCTTATTTATTGTTTGGCTGGAAGCTATGGAAGTGAGTTCAATTCCAGGCTCAAAAGGTGACTAGGGGCCATAGTCTTGGGGGTTTCACCAGTTTCTATCAAACTAGTAAGCCTAGTCTTTTTTATGATTTTGAGTTTTGTTCCACATTTTTATCCCACTCTATCCAGGATCTCCTACACTGATCCCTTTCTGAATGTTTGACAGTGGTAGCTGGGCACTATCTAGTTCTTCTGGGCTCAGAGTTATGTAGACCCAAACCATGATATTTTTAATTGCCTCATATGTGTGTGAAAGCTGGAAAGTAAATAAGGAAGATTAAAGAAGAATTGATGCATTTGACTTATGGTGTTGGTGAAGAATATGTACCATGGACTGCCAGAAGAACAAGTACATCTGTCTTGGAAGAAATATAGCCAGAATGCTGATTAGAAGTGAAGATGGTGAGACTTTGTCTCACATACTTTGGATATGTTATCAGGAGGGACCAGTCCCTGGAGAAGGACGTCATGCTTGGTAAAATAGAGGTCAATAAAAAAGAGGAAGAACCTTTGATCCAGCAATCCCATTAGGTATATATCCTAAAGAAGTGAGAGCCAGAACATGAGTAGACATGTACACCTATGTTCCATCACAATACTATTCAAAATAGCAAAGAGATGGAAACATTGTAAGTGCCCATCAATGGAGGAATGGATAACCAAATGATGGTACATACATATAATGGGATACTATGCAACACTAAAGAATAAAGTAGAATCCTCATAATGTGGATAACTTGGAGGACATTATGCTGAGTGAAATAAGTCAATCATAGAAGGACAAATATTATCCCACTATTGTAAAAAGTCAAGGAAAGTTTTGCATATGGAAGGAAATTTTCTTTTTTGGTTAACAAGGGAGGGAAGGGAAAATTGCTAGAAAGGTAAGAGACAAGTATTGATTTGGGTGAATGGAAAGGCTATATACCAACAGTGATTGACCAACAAAATAACAGTAAGGAAAAGGAAGACACAGAGAGGTATACAAGAGGTACAGATAACAAAGAAAAACTTTTACATACACAGTGCTGCATTATCAGTAACAATCAACCATGGGAGATCCAAGGGGCAGTATTTGCACAGGGAGGTAGCTCAGAGGGCAGGAATGCACAGGAAAGAAGGAAACAGGGAAAAGATAGGAGGAAGTTGGAAGAGAGCTATTACTTTATGGGGATTGGAATCAAAGTTATGAAACAAAATGTGTATGAACTGTTGTATGAAAATGAATTTGCTCTGTAAACTTTCACTCAAATCATAATTAAAAAAACAAAACAAAAAAACCAGGAAGAGTCTCAACTAGATGGATTGACACAGTGGCTGCAACAATGGGCTAAAACACAGCAAGGATTAGGAGGATGAGACAGGACTGGGTGTTCTTTCATTCTGATGTACATAGGTTGCTATGAGTTGCAAGACTACAGTCAAGTAAACCCCATGGAGCAGTTCTACTCTGAAACACATGCAGTCACCATGAATTGGAACAGACTGGATGGCAACCAATTTAACTTTTTTTTTTCCTTCCTACTCAGTTAGAGTGCCTCATGGTGCAAGTACTCCATTACTAACCATAAAGATGGTCAGTTTAAACCCATTCAGAGATACCTTGGAGGAAAGGCCTGGTGATCTGCTCTAAAAAGTTACAGACCTGAAAACTCTATAGACCCAGTTCTACTTTGAAACACATGGGGTTACCATGAGTTGGCATTGACTCTATGATAATTTTTTTTTTTTTTGGATCCAGGGAAAGATATTTCTTTTTGCTCTGAGCCCCTCCATGGCCCTTTCTGACATCTGAGACTGATAGAAACTCACTGATGATGGAGAGAGCTCAGCCTCAGGCCTCAGGAGCAGCACACTTTCGTCCACTGCACGCAGGGCACAGAGGGACTGAGGAGAAGCTGTGACTCTCAGGTGGGTGTTTGAGGCTGGTAGACTTTTTGCTGGGTTGAAGCTCAAATCCACCTGTGAAATCAGGAGAAAAGGTCAGAAAAATACATTTCCTGATTTAATGGTGCATTCACCCTGATTACCCGAATGTCCCTCACATTCAATGCGTAATGACATTCTTTGATTTTGTGGTGGTTGGCACCATGTCTATCCTAAGATGTTTTGCCCCTTTCCTTGTGTCTAGATTTAAAGAAGGTGCAATACTTCACTCTGATGAAGTAGTACACTCAGCAAGTAGTAGCTGAACCATTATAGTTATTGTGATAAATTACTACTTTTGACTCCTACTTTTTACCTCTAATACATGGTGAGGTGCTCATTAAATGCAGATGGAATATAAAATGGTTCTAGATGCCCTTGCATTTTTTGTTTGGGTCTTTAGAAGTCTTAAAAAATGTTTATGTGTTTTCCAAAATTTCATCATAGAAGAAGGAAACAAGATCTACTGAATGGGATCATATGATAAAAGACTTTAAAGTAAAATGCTATACTTCCATGAGGATTTTACACTAGGAGTCAGGTGACATGGATTCTCAGTGTAACACAGCCATTACCTTGCTGCATACTTCTGGGAAATTCATTTAACCCTTTTGGTCTCTATTCCCTCATGTATAAAATAATTGATACTGATAGTACCATTCAGTTTACAGTGTTAAAAATTTTGTGATTGAAAACACCTACCTTGTTGGCCAGACAGTTTTCAACCTGGTATGTTGCAGTGTCCCCCACCACTTCTCCACTGGGTAAAATGGCATAGACAAGCAATCGAGCGATGGGAGCAATATGGGACTCCACAGGGAATGACATGGAAAAATGGCCTTTCACTGGAGCACAGAGAGAATGAGAGGATGTGATCATGGGTTAGACATCTCTCCAGAGCTGAAATGGAATGAGTCTATTGCACAAAGCCATTTTAGGAGCTTGGGGTGATTAATGACAGTTTCTGTCAGTAAATACAACAGTAGTTATAAAAAAATGGGAGCTGTAATAAAGGAATGACTACCTCTAAGAAACCTAGCTTTAGAAAAAACTTATCAAAGTTTTTGCCTTATTAATTGTATACTGATTTCTTATCCACTCTAAGCTTTACCTGATGCTGTCCAAGGGTGACATCTGTGTGGCTACCGGTCAGCCTGGACCTGTTATTTATTGTTGAGTTGATGTTGACTCATCATTCATGGGTGATCCTATGAGTGCAGGGTAGAACTGCTCCATAGAATTTTTAGGTTGTGACCTTTCAGAAGAAGCTCACCAGGCCTGCCCCTTAGATGCCTCTAGGTGGGTTCAAACCACCAAACTTTTGGGGAGTAGTGGAGCACTTAACCAGCTGCACCACTGAGGGACTTCCAGTAGAGATGGGAAACAGATAAAACCTGAAGTTGTGACATATAATACTAAGAGTTCAAAACATTATAATTATGCTTATCTTCTCTCTACCCTTCTATGAATTAAATGCTCTATTCTTTTCTTCCTAAAAGGATTTTTATGCTCTTTTAGAAGTTATTTGCTTATTAATTTTTATTTTGGTGAAAATATACACAGTCATATACCATTTCAATAATTTCTACATGTACAACTTAGTAACACTGATTACATTCTTTAGGTTGTGCACACATTCTCATAATCCTTCTCTAAGTTGTTACACCACCATTGACTTAGACTCATTGCCTCCTAAGCTTCTCATCTAACCTTTTTTTTTTTTTTTTTTAGGATTTGGG